CGTCGTAATAAAAATATAACTTGACATACGTATTTATAAATAATTTATTTTCAAATTACATCATTTCTATGACCAAGGGCGGCATAAGGCATGGGCAACGTGGGCCACCGCCTATGCCTCACGGTCCGAAGGTTTATGCGTTACTTAAAAGCTGCGAACGCAACGAAAAAATTTTACTCGTCATAAAACGATAAATAGTTTGTCAAATTTTTATTCATAAAAATGTAGTTTCAACTGCTTTTTATTTTATAAAATTCGTCTTCTTGCACTACCAGAGGGCCTTTTAAACAGTAGGTAGTCTGTTAGCGTTGGTCCAAATTCAATATGAATGTTTGTTTCTTGAAAATTTGATCACGGTTTAAATACAGTATTTACTTTTCATATTACCGATATGTCATCGAAAAGAAAACATGTTGTATTATCATTAAAAGACCAATTAAAGTATTTGTTTCGATTATCCAAATTTTTCCCTTATCCAGACTACTTTCATCCCCAATTAGTCCAGATAATCGAGGTTCTACTGTACTTACAATAATTTAAAATATAATTTAGAGAATCACTTCTACATTTAAACAAAAAATACACTAATCAGAAGAATTTCAAAATTAAAAAACTACAAATTCTGAATGAATGTTAATATGTGAATAATTGAAGGATGAAAGAATACAGACTGAAAGAACATCAATAATGACATTTCCATTGAAAGGATTAATTAATAATAATAATATAAATATAAATAAACAGCATCATTATTATATATTAATAAAATGAGTAGTTAAAGTGTCAGTAATTTACAGTAGTAACTTTTTCTATTCTCTTGAAAATATCATAATTCATAGATATCTTAAGTATTATTATTTCAATGAAATTTTTGTTTTTTGACAAATTTCATATTAAACTAATAAACATTTTTTTGCGGTTTATGTATTGAAGGTTGAAATCATTTAAGACTTTTTTGATCTGTCAAGGTTATTTATACATAATTTTAAAGAGATTAGAATTACAGTCATTAAATCAATGAAGCACAAGATTTCAGAAAACCTTGACTAAATTGCTTATAAACTTACAGAATGTTCTGTTTTTCACAACACAATTATCAAATTGTGAAATGATATAAAATTTGAAATAAGTTTAAAGCAGTGCATTTGCAGAATTGCCGAGATATAGAATTTAGTTTTATTTATTTGAAAATAATTATTAATATGAATATTGTTTTTTCAGATGGTTTCTCTGATGTGAATTTTAATAAACATTTGATTTTCGACTTAAATCAAATTGAGAAAACTCAAAAGAATGAAATTTCTTCATTTTCATGTTTTGAAAACAGTGATGAAAGAGCAGAACTTCACTCGCCTATATTTAAGAAAATGACAATATCAGTCAAAAATACAAATATGGATAATTCTGATACAGAAAACTTATGTTTACAAAGCAAATATGATGCTATTATCAATTGTGATAATTCAGATGATTTAGATAATTATCAAAAACTTTCTCAAATACCTAATGGATTAATAAATCATTCCTCAAAGATGAACAAACTGAAATCAAGTGACTGTCATATAGCTGATATTTCTAGAGGACTGTGTAACTGGAAAGCAATTATATTTTTAGTATTATGGTATTTTTTTAGTTTCACAACACTGTTTTTGAATAAATATATTCTTGCATATCGAAAAGGCGATCCAACTGTTTTGGGTAAGTCTTTTAATTCTTTATAATCCGAATAATATTTTTATTAAAAAATTAATTTTATAATAATGGTACATTAGATTTTATTAAAATTCATTATTATTATGAAATTTTATGTGAAACCATAAAACATAACTTTGTAGCATTTATAGTTAATATTTTCAAGTATGTAAATATTTAAACATAAATATAATGCAATAATTTGTGTGCTATTATTACATATTAAAAAGAAACATTTTCTGTTACTGTAAGGTATATAATAATGTTAAATCATGTTACATTATATTTATAATATAATAATAGTTTAAAATTAAAATAATTTTAAATTAATACAATACTTTATACTTAAATAAAACTATCATCCTATACAATAAACAGTAATAAAGAAACTGCAAATATAAAAAATATCATTTATTGCAAGGTAAAAGTTTGAACTATTTAAATATAAAATAATACTATCGTACTTAAAATAGAAAGGTATTATTTTATACTTAAGTAGTTTAAATTGCTACCTTGCAATAAATAATATTTTTAAAATAAGTAAATAGTATTATTACAATAGTTCTTGTATTTTATAATAATAATTTTCAAAAACTAAATTGAAAATTAATACAGTTCTAGTAATATGCTTATAATCAGCTCCTTGATTTTATTCCAAAATTTCACTATGATTAATCACAATAAAAATATTGACTTATTGTATTTCCTTTTGATATATGATTTTCTGCCAATATCATATGTTTAAAATTACTGAAGAAGCAAAATTTTTGTTTCAAAATCAGATATGACTATGTTGTTTTCATTTAAAAAGCACTTCTGTTAAAAGTCAGTGTAATTTTAAAAATAATTAATTGAAACCAATATCAAAATTTTCTTTTGAATAAATTTTAAATTGTAGTATTTAAAGTAATCAGAAATTACAAGATTTTTTTTACATATATGTTATTTTGTGAGAAGAAAAATAATTATTATTCAAATTGTATTCAAATGACATTTTAAATGATCTTATATTTCTGAAAAAGTTAATACTTTCCAATGCTTTCTATTAGTATGAAATGATATTTTAATGTCAAAAAAATATATATATTAATGTAAGTATAATGGTGAAAATAAAATTCAAAATTTTATGATAAAATTATAGTAAGTTTTAATATAAAAATGTTTTTTCAAGTATTTATTTCAATAAAGTTTTTTAATATAACTTTCTTATATATAGGAATTGTTCAAATGTTTTGTTGTGCTATTTGTGGATATATTCAATTACATTTCTCATGTGGATTATATAAAAAATTACCTCCAAGAAAGATAACACTTCAGTGTTTATTACGAATGGCTCTTGTTGGCAGTTTAAGGTAAGAATCCATTCATAAAAAATAGTTGTTTTTTTATTGTTAATCATGTCTGAGTTGAAGTGTAATGAACAGATTAATCAAAAATAATTTGTTTGCCATATTTCTTATTTTTAATTAATCGTATGTACAATTTATCAATAGAATTATTTTTAAACTAGTCTATAAGAAGGTTTAATAAGTATATCAAATGTTTATTAACTAAATTATTAATTTACTCAAGAGATTGTGCCTAATGTCTATCTGTAGTAGCAAATTACTTAGTATTAATCATTACATTTGCAAAGTTATATAGCCTGATTATTTAATGTGATCATTTGGTTATGTTTCTAGATTTAATAAGTTAAATCCTTTTAGAAATTCTTCAAAAATTATTTAAACTGAATATTGTTAGATCTTTCTTTAAGACTAGTGTTAATTATTTAATTTTTTCAAATATTTTGAAATTACACAAGTGTATAAAATAAGACAGTGCAGGGACTACTAAGACACTAATATGACAATACTTGTACCATGGGTCAATTACTGTTCCTTTTGCTAATTTGTTAAGTATAACATCCTTTGATAAAATTTTGATGGTGATCCTATTTTTGTTGTTGATCTCTAGTGATCTAATGCAACATTGAAATTAAATATCAAATGTAATTTGTGTGCTTTTGTGAAAAACAAAGTTGATAGAAAATATTAATAATAATGCTGGTGGATAGTTGGGAAAGATATTTAACTCAATAGAATGATTGCTAATATATGTTAAAAGAAAATTACTTTATAAATTAAAATGTCATGCACTAACTCTGAATAAATCTTAATACTGCAACAGTATCTATGCCAGTAACGAAATTACATAGATATTTATTGTAGGTGATGCTGCGAACCGTAAAATCTATTCAACACGTTACTGTGGGATGTGACGTGTATTAAAGGTGTATTCGGTTTACTTTGACGTTTGGAGAAACGTGTAAGTTATTAAAATATACTTTATGAACATTATATTTGCAATCTAGCTTTATATAAATTTGATTGTAAATGAATTGCGTTATGTTTTATTACTGTAATTTTCTACCATGTGATTTATGAAACTTCTATTGGAAAATGCCCTTTTAAATAGATAATTCATACAAAACGTAGTAATACAATCGCGATTTCTGCTAAAAAAGTACAAGTTTTTAAACTTTTAAAGACATTTTCATTAATAAAATGATATATATATAAGAATGAAATGTTATAACAATAGTAATGCTGATTGAAGGGACATAATACAAATGGAATGCATTACAAAACTGATAAATAATATAGTAAAATTTCAGTTTTGAATGAGGAGTTTGGACCCACAAATACTAGACCTTGTGTAGAGGATCACATGTAGACCTTTGGTTTTTTATACCTATGGGCATGGTCTACAGCTCTGCTAAAATCTCAACTGCCTCATTCAGAGCTGTATTTGTACCATTATTTTCATAATTTATTTATGTTTTAATTTCTCAAAAAAATGCAAGGAAATATTTTGTATAATGATTGTATAATTGTAATCATTAAGATGATTATTGTGCTTGCATGATTACAATTTATCTAATCAATGCCAATTTAATATATGGATAATTGCATTCAAACAATTGGCAATCGTAAAGTTTAATTTTAAAATAGGTGATTAATGTTGCTTCTCATAATTATTGAAATAAGAAAAATCAAAACTTTTATTCGTGTTAAATTTAAATAGCTTTTATGCATATATAATCTTGTTTATTTTATGTTTTAAGATTTAATCAAATTAATTATTCCAATATTTTTTTTTTATACTTGAAATTGACATATAAAATATTAGTGTTTTCATATACATGGTAAATTTATATCAGTTATTACTAATAAAAAAAATAGAAAAGAACATAAAAGGATAATAAAATGATTTAAAATAACATAAAATTAAATTTTAGGTGATTTGTAAATAAAATCTATAGACTTAGATATATTTTTATCTGTCTACTTAACATCTGATATTAAAAACTGGCTTGGGAAATTCAAGGTTAATTGCTATTCTTAGTTGATCATATTATATAGAAATAGCATAAATTGATTGCTAACTATTGAGAAACTATAAAAGATAAATAAGTTTTGTCTCAAAAAATTAAATCTTTATTATAATACATTTAGATTACATTTTACAAATTCTCAAGAAGAAAAAGATATATGTGAAGTATTGTTATATATTTAGTCAGTAAAAAAATATTTTAGGTAAATTCTCAAAATATTAATGATGGTTAGCTTATTGAATAATATCTATTTTGTTGTCTTACTATTGAATTCTTGAACAAAAATTGGCCATGCCCATATTATAATTAAAGTCAAAAAATGATAAGTTTACAAAAATAATATGAAAGATTTTTTCTTCTTTTCATTAGCTTAGAATAAATTGCATCTTGTACATGTTATATGATGAAACACCATCAAATAATATTAATCAGGCCAATAGGCTACTATCTTATCTATGCTGTTTGTAAATTATTCTTATAGCATTTTCTAATATACCAGGTTTTTTTTTTAAATTAGATTTTATATGCATAAATATAAAATCTGTGAACAGTGACCATTAACAAGAATGTAAATGGCTATTGTTTGGAGATTATTTTGTATGTACGGGAGGTCTTCATTTAACATGACTAACTAAGACCAAAAATTTGCTACTCAAAGTGAATCTATGTAAAGTAAGGATCATAATTTCATAGAAAATCATATGAAAAATGTTTAATTGGGACTTTAATAAAGCAAAACTGAATGAAAAACATGAAAGAAATGTTTATTGTCCCTATTTACACCTATATAAAATATTTATTATTAATATAATTGAATATTAGAAATTATTTATAACTGAATTTTAGAAGTACCTGGTTGTTTTATTTTTACTGACTGCTGAATTTTATATATGAAAAATGAATATAAAGTTGTTCTTAAATCCTTAACATTTTTGAAAATGGTGAAACCAGCCTTTTGATGTCAAAAAATTCTTAGTTTTTGCTGCCTCTTCCTCTCTCACCTCACTGAATAACTTCATACAAAGATAAAGTTGTTATTGGATTAGGTCTAAGCTTATAAGTATGTGTTATTGATAGATAACTTCAATCCACATTGCAAGACACTTTTTCATTATTCCCATTACATCATTCCTCAGTTGTTTGTTTTCACTTCACAATGGCATAGCCTAGTTTTAACTTTGGCTTCCAAATCTAAGGCTTTCTTAACTATTATGTGAACTGTGATCTCAGGAATGTTAAAGGCACGGGAAATATCAATTACACATTCTCCTTTCTTCTATCAATTAATTATGTCTATTTTAACAGCTAGACCGTATGAAGCACGTTTCCTTTTATGAACTCCATCATCAGTTTTGCTAAGTTTCATTGACATAATTTCAATAAAAAACTCAGAAAATGAAACAGAAAAACCAGCCAGAACCAAAGCAAAAATGACAAATGCATGCACAATAATGCATTTTGTGTATGGTGATTATGTATCAATGTGCATGTAGATCACATGGTGCAATAGGAAGTTACCCTCCTCTGGGGAACCTTGTAAGTGTGGGGAATTTTTTTAAAGTGGTGTTCCACAATTTTTTGACCACTTAACTACAGGGACTCGGATAACGAATACTTGTTAAACAACGACCCCCTGTATATCAAAAAGAAATGTTTCTGAAAAAAATGGCTGCTGTTTACAGTTATCTATTATTGAGGTTCAACTGTAGCTTGTTATATAAAATGTTAAATAATGTACCCTGTGAACCAATGATCAGTGTTTGACGAAAAGAAACAAAAGAGAAAGTTTACCACAAACGTTTTTGAACTGGCTTGAGTTCTTCAGGTGTTAAATGGAATTACTGATGATCTCTTTTGTTTTTTCATCACACACTGGTCATTGGCTCACAGGTTACATTATTTATTACATTCTGGTGTTGTGTGTTGGTGTTTAATATAAAATGTTTTCAACCATTTATTCTAGATTTATCAATAAAAATAAAATACAGTGAAGCATCAAAAATCTGGACTAAGTGGGACTAGACCATATCCACATTTTCATTTTGTCTGGATTTTCAAATATATGTGCAAATTCATTTACATATTTATTTTAGGTATTGTATTTTAGTACTGTAAACTCCAAATATACTGTAATTCAAGTTTGGGAGTCCTAAGTTAAGGCAGTATTTCACATGGAATATAAGAATACAATAGAACCTCGATTATCCGGATTGTTCAAAATAAACAAAAATTTTACAAATTTGCTGATTTGCACTTGGCGAATTACGATACTGTTTATGTACGTGATGGAATGCATAACTTTTTTTGTTTCAACGACGTCTCACCCAGCACAGTGGCCATAAACTCTTAAATATATTTTGCGTCGTAATAAAAATATAACTTGACATACATATTTATAAATAATTTATTTTCAAATTACATCATTTCTATGACCAAGGGCGGCATAAGGCATGGGCAACGTGGGCCACCGCCTATGCCTCACGGTCCGAAGGTTTATGCGTTACTTAAAAGCTGCGAACGCAACGAAAAAATTTTACTCGTCATAAAACGATAAATAGTTTGTCAAATTTTTATTCATAAAAATGCAGTTTCAACTGCTTTTTATTTTATAAAATTCGTCTTCTTGCACTACCAGAGGGCCTTTTAAACAGTAGGTAGTCTGTTAGCGTTGGTCCAAATTCAATATGAATGTTTGTTTCTTGAAAATTTGATCACGGTTTAAATACAGTATTTACTTTTAATATTACCGATATGTCATCGAAAAGAAAACATGTTGTATTATCATTAAAAGACCAATTAAAGTATTTGTTTCGATTATCCAAATTTTTCCCTTATCCAGACTACTTTCATCCCCAATTAGTCCAGATAATCGAGGTTCTACTGTACTTACAATAATTTAAAATATAATTTAGAGAATCACTTCTACATTTAAACAAAAAATACACTAATCAGAAGAATTTCAAAATTAAAAAACTACAAATTCTGAATGAATGTTAATATGTGAATAATTGAAGGATGAAAGAATACAGACTGAAAGAACATCAATAATGACATTTCCATTGAAAGGATTAATTAATAATAATAATATAAATATAAATAAACAGCATCATTATTATATATTAATAAAATGAGTAGTTAAAGTGTCAGTAATTTACAGTAGTAACTTTTTCTATTCTCTTGAAAATATCATAATTCATAGATATCTTAAGTATTATTATTTCAATGAAATTTTTGTTTTTTGACAAATTTCATATTAAACTAATAAACATTTTTTTGCGGTTTATGTATTGAAGGTTGAAATCATTTAAGACTTTTTTGATCTGTCAAGGTTATTTATACATAATTTTAAAGAGATTAGAATTACAGTCATTAAATCAATGAAGCACAAGATTTCAGAAAACCTTGACTAAATTGCTTATAAACTTACAGAATGTTCTGTTTTTCACAACACAATTATCAAATTGTGAAATGATATAAAATTTGAAATAAGTTTAAAGCAGTGCATTTGCAGAATTGCCGAGATATAGAATTTAGTTTTATTTATTTGAAAATAATTATTAATATGAATATTGTTTTTTCAGATGGTTTCTCTGATGTGAATTTTAATAAACATTTGATTTTCGACTTAAATCAAATTGAGAAAACTCAAAAGAATGAAATTTCTTCATTTTCATGTTTTGAAAACAGTGATGAAAGAGCAGAACTTCACTCGCCTATATTTAAGAAAATGACAATATCAGTCAAAAATACAAATATGGATAATTCTGATACAGAAAACTTATGTTTACAAAGCAAATATGATGCTATTATCAATTGTGATAATTCAGATGATTTAGATAATTATCAAAAACTTTCTCAAATACCTAATGGATTAATAAATCATTCCTCAAAGATGAACAAACTGAAATCAAGTGACTGTCATATAGCTGATATTTCTAGAGGACTGTGTAACTGGAAAGCAATTATATTTTTAGTATTATGGTATTTTTTTAGTTTCACAACACTGTTTTTGAATAAATATATTCTTGCATATCGAAAAGGCGATCCAACTGTTTTGGGTAAGTCTTTTAATTCTTTATAATCCGAATAATATTTTTATTAAAAANAAGCAGGCAGACTCTAGTCTTGAGTGTGTGCTAAATTTACATGCTACTGTATTATATATTATAATTGAGATTGAATTGTTGTATTAGTTTTCATGATTGTTAACTAAAAATTGTGTATTTGATTGAAACAATATTATATTAATTTTTTCATTTATTTTAAAGGTTTTCTACTGTCCTACTTGGGTTAATTGCACTTTGGTATGTTCCTGTTTCATTTGCTGAAACAGTGAAAAGTTCAGCACCTGTTTTTACAGTTGTAATATCCAGGTTAATTCTTGGTGATAAGACAAGTCTTTTGGTTATATCATCTCTCTTTCCTGTCATGGGTGGATTGGCTTTATGTAGTGCAAATGAATTGAGTTTTAATACTTTAGGATTTATTGCAGCTGTGGCAACAAATCTTTCAGAGTGGTTAGTAGAAATTTTTCATAATTAGATATTTAAAATTGAAAAAAATTTATAAAATTTTAAAATGCAATTTAATATAATTTTGTAAAACTTTTATTATTAATTTTTTATCTAGTTTTCAAAATGTATATTCTAAAATGTTATTAAGTGGAGAAAAAGTTACCTATAGGTAAGCTGCTAATCATTGTATCAAATATTTTGTAATTTTGTCTTTAGTTTAAATTTATAATAAAAAATAATAGTCTGATAATCTAACTTAAAATGTAACTTTAAATTGTATTGAAGTAAAAACTTCACTACAATTTAAAACCTTTATTTTAATAAAATTTTACTATACAAATTAACATAAATATTATTACTTGTTCAAGAAAATATATTTGTAGAATGCAGAGCTCTGTATATACAAAATATACATATAACTGTTTATAGTGTACATTGAGAAACTTAACTATTTTGAAATTGTAATCACATGATTATAAATATAAAAGTTTTTAAATTTTTGTAAATATTGTTTTTATGTTCAAAATACTTCTAAACATTTAGTTTTAGTTAAAACTTTTAGCAAAAACTATTAGAATACATCTTTCAAGCTTTTTATCTTTTATCAATATTTTATTCATGATATTAAATTATTATGTGAATTATTTTATATTTAACATTTTAACATTTAACATATTTAAATATTTTATATTTAACATTGCTGTTAGTCCATTTAATTATTACTAATTTTATACAATTTCATTAAATTGTAATTGTAAGTAATATAAATAATTTTCATAAAATGGACATATCATACATTAACAGCCTAATTTACATTAAAATACATCAATTTATATTTGTTTAGATGTATACCTATGCAAAAATGCATTTAGGACCTGCTAGTCTCTCTTCAGTTGGCTTTTTTTATAAATGTATATACATTAAAATTAAACATTTGACTGACATTTATACTATATTTTATATAAAAAATTTTTATTAATTCATTTATGATTTTTATATTATAATTTTGTAATTTCACTATTTAATATAATTCAAAATCTGTGTATGTATTAAAAGCAAAAAGTTCTGTTCCCATCAAAACTTAAACCAACATTTTACAAAGAAGCAGCATTGTAAGTAGATCACACTGGATCTCCTGTGGAGTCTACAATTCGTTCCTCAAAAGGATCACCCATTAACTTCCTCTGTGGACTCTGCATGAATTCATGGGAAGGGTTAATTAACAAAGGGGGTCTTTGCATAGGGATAGGACTTTTGACTCACACTTTGAGTTGAAGAGACTGCTATTCATTTGCTCTAGTAGCAACTGTTCTTTAAGTTTGATGTTTGAATAATAACCTTTGGTTATACACAAAATACACATATACAGATTTAGTTTTAATTTTTATATTAATTTCAATAATATTTATCTGTGTGTGTGTATATATAGGGAGTTATAAAAATAGGTATACAGTTGTTGTTATGGAAAAAATATATACAGGGAGAAAATAGGAAAAAACATTTATATTTATGTACAAATTAAATCATAAATAAGGAATATGAACTAATAAAAGAATAAAAATAATAATAATGAACACCAAACATTTTGTATTTTTCAGATTCTTAACTGTTTATCTATTTTTGCATCTCCTGTATATTAAAAGCAAAATGTTCTGTCACTGCAACACACAAATAACATAAATTTAAAATTTAAAATTAATTTGATTTACAATTTGAAAATTTCAAAACAACCGTCAAACAGTTTTTAAAAACATTTTAATTTCCAATTGATTTATTTTATTTTTAATTTTGGTTTTAGTTTAAAGGCTAGAGCTTTAATTATTTTATTAGTTTTAGTTAATTTTTGGCTTAAACTAAATTAATATTAAATAAATTAAGTTTTTATAATTATTTAATATTATTAGTTATTTAATTTTACCTTTATTTTTTGAGCCCTTTACAATTTTTTTAATTAATTGCAACTTTTTTTGCACAAAAGATAATCAAATTTAAATTTATTTTAATTTTTTTAGTAATTTCATTAATTTTTGTTTTATAAATTTGTCTGCTTTTAAAAAATATTTTAAATTTTAATTTTAAGTGAGTTAACATCAATTGAACTGTTGAGTTACCTAGTACAAATTAAAATTCTAACATTACAGTTTTTAACTTTCTTTTTTTCATTCTTATACTGTTTCTGCCTCATTAAAACCAACAAAATATAATTTTAACCATTACAATATCTTAAAATGTATACAATTTAAAAAGGTAAAATTTACTATTATTTACATTTGTATAATTTCTTTAGGATTTACAAATATTAACAAATCATCTATAATGACATCTTGTAACAGCACTGTTAACTAATTTTTGCAACACATTGTTAAGAAGTATTGGTTAGATAAAAGCGAGGAAACCACATTTTGTAAAGAAATCCACTTAACAAATCATAGTTTTACATGTGAATGTAAATTACTTGTAACATTTTCATTTAATATTTTGTTATTTATTATATTAAAGTTAGAACTTTAGATTTATCTAGAAAAATATTATTTTCAGTACATTTTTGAATTTGAATAAATAAATTATTTCTTTAGTTTTGAATGATAAGAAAAAGATTTATTTCTACTATTAAGAAATCAGACAAATACTTTGAATTTAAAATTTTTATATAGAAAAATAAAAATTGATAAAAGCCAAAGAATAGTTTGTTTTATTTATGCAATATCTATGAGATTATTGAAAATATAACTGTTAAAAATAATTTAGATGTTCCCTATATACTATAATATAGGGAGCATCTAAATTATTTTTAATAAACTCATAGATATTACTTACTAATGTTTTTAAATCTTTTAATAATTTTAACACTCAACAGTTGTTAAATTAACCAGTTTGTATGGTAATTTTTCTTTGTTACTGAAGCATTCTAACATGTAGTATCATTTTGTCATCTCAAAATAACTTGCTAATATTTTTCATCTAATTGAAATACTCTAACATTTGATTAAAAATATGTAAGTTAACTGGAACAAATGTTTATTCTTATTTGCAAAAGTCAATCTTACACTCATTGAAATTATTCATTAATAGTTAAATAAAATTTAAAAATTTGTTAAAAATAAACCAAACTGTCTTTTGGTACTAATAAACTTGGTCTTTTGTTTACTTGAATAAACCAAACTGTTAAAATCTTCTCTTCATCTAAGTTTGGTGTAGTTAGTGAGCACATTTTTATATACAAAAATTTTTTGTTTTAAAAAGCAAAATATAATTATGAGATGCAATATTTACACATCTGATAATTTTGCAAAACTGTCTCTGAATACATTAAAGTGTTAGCTAAATGTGAATACAATTAGTAATATCTTTTAATATGGAAAAATGAAGAGTCTAGCAAACAAAAATCATTTTAAAAATATACAGTTATATCAAAGAATTGTGTAAAACTAGGTACTTATTCAGATATCCTGAAAGTGACTGTTACATTAAGGAAACCAAATTATTTATTCTCTTAGAAAGTTTCAATTTTAGTCCAGCATTAGCATTCTAAATAGAACTTGTGCAAGTTGTTCTTGGAATACTAAAATAGTCTGATAATGGTAATAAATGAATAAATGTTTTTGGTTTTTCTTTAATGTAGCAGTTACTTTCAAGATATAGTTACAGCACCATAGCTAGGGCTTGGCAAAGGGACATGTGTTAGGGTGCAAACCCCAGAATATGCAATCAGCAAAGCAATTTTATTATTTCAAAATATTTAGTAGAGAGTTTTAGAGGGAGCAAAATCAGAATCTTTTCCTTGGTGCCAACGACCCTAGCTACAACACTGTATAAATATTTTATAGTTANCAAGGAAATCGTATAATAACCTTTCATTAAAAAAATGACATGTCTCAGAACTTATAACCAAGGCCGGCCAGAGAGTGGTGTGAATGGTGCGACTGCGCAAGACCCCTCGAACTTGCATGATCCAAATCTTGCGAACTCTTAGCGAATGATGAAATTATCAATTTTTAATCTATTTAACGGATGGTATGTTTATTATTAAAATATTATTTTGTTGTTCGAAACTGTTTTGTTCTTATTATTAATAATAAAAGGCTCCGCACAACAACTTTGCACTAAGTCCCAGTTTTTTTTGGGCCGGCCCAGCTTATAACCACAAAAACTTCCAAACGACCTGAACAGTGTCTCAGAATTCTGTTTCGAACCCTGAACTTCAGTGTTTCAGTAGTTTAGCATCTATAGGAGTACAAATACCAGCATCAATTATGCTGGTTAATTTTCCTAAGGTTTTCCATGTTGTAAGGTGAAGTTCATTAATGCTAAAACAAGTTTTTTCCCTTTAAAAAAATCAGTTTTTTAAAAAATCATCTTAAAAAATTAAATTAAAAAACTTCAAGGATTAATACTGAATACCACCGTTGTTTTTTATCTATAACCTCATTTTATCAGAGACAAAAACTACTAAGGATTACCTTCAGGTAATCCTTAGTAGTTTTTCCCTCTTAGTAGTTTAGTCCCTCTTCAGGTAATACATATCTACAATCGGTAAACATACAGATGTTATAAAAATTATTATATATTACAGCTATATATATATATATATATATATAGCTGTAATATATAATCATTTTTATAATCATTTAAGATATTAAGATATGTATTACCTGAAGAGGGGTACAAGTGAAACAAAATTTTGCACCTGAAATGCATTGTGTAATAAAGACTAACAATTGTAATTCTTAGTAGTTTTTGTCTCTTATAAAATGAGGTTATAGATAAAAAACGACAGTGGTATTCAGTATTAACCCTTGAAGTTTTTTAATTTTTTAAGATGATTTTTTAAAGAAATGTAAAAACCCACACCATAAGTAAACATATATATTTGTTAATTATTATTGCCTTACTGTCCTTTAGTTTCTTAATATAAATTTTTTGTCAACTTGGACATTAATTATTAATAGAACAATTATATGGGTTTTTTAAATTTTTATGTAAGAATTGAGAAAAAAGTTCTTAAAGAAAATAGACTTTCTTTACATGTAGCTCAATAAAGAAAGTCTGTTTATTGAGCTACATGTAAAGAAAGTCTATTTTCTTTAAGAACTTTTTTCTCAATTCTTGTGTAAATGCTTAACACCAGTATAATTGTCCTGTTTATAATTAATATCCATGTTGGCAAAATATATAATAAGAAATTAAATAAAAACAGTAAGGCAATAATAATTGATCTAAATTAAATTTACTATTCTGAATCTAGATGCTTTTATTACTAAATGATTTAGAATTTTAATAAAAGTCAAATGTATTTGATGTGTTAACTCATTGGTGTCAACATGTTAAATATGTTTTCTATGCTGATGATGATCTAAAATTAGTTTGAAGACTTTTTCTGGTTTATTAATAATAATCCATAACAAGTAAAACGGAAAAACTGTATTTGGGACAAGACTATATGTCAGAGATGCNTATATATATATTTGTTACTTATACAAGTTTTTTTCTTCCCTTTTAAGATATCTCTTGACATTATATATTTTTAATTTGAAACTAATTTCTCTTTACCAAAAGCTTTTCATTTTCATCTTAAGATAAGTGAAAGCTTTTAAATAAAATATCAAATCAAAAATTTTTTTGACATTTTTTAGAATTTATAAACCAACATTTACAACATAATAAATCAACAACTACCAGATTATATTGAGCTATTATATTGTGATTATTTTTAATTGATTACTAATTAATTTGTACTAGAAATTTGAGTCCCACTCTGGGCCTATTCTTTTCAGAATTTTCTAAATTATTTAATTTAATTATAATTATTAAATCTTATAAGAGATGACACCTAATGCCTCCCTCTAGTGACAAATTAATTAGTAGTTAATTTAAAATAATTGTGATATAATAGCTTTATAATCTGATAATTGTTGACTTTATTAAATAAAATTTAATAAAAGAATTGGCTCTTGGCATTTTATAACATTTTTTAGAACATATTGCATACATTTTTGGATTTTAATCCAAATATGAGAGATGCAGAATCCATAAAACAAAGTTTTAGTAGAAAATGAAGAAAAATTATCTTAGTTACTCGAGACTACAATAAGTAAACTTTTAATTTCGATAAAATTTGTTTTCAGTATTTCTATAGTATATTCTCTCTAGTGTAAAGTTTGAAACTTCATTTTTTTACAAACAGAACTTTGATACTTATTTTTATTTAGTTCATTATCTTAGTGCCGTTTTTAACATTCAAACTTTACGTATTATTTTATACTGATGATATCTAGTCCACAATTTTAATATAGTGAATAATTTGTCATTTTGACAGTTTATCTATTTTTGCTGAAGCTTTATTTTTCTATACAATCTTAAAAATTATAATAAATGGAATAAAAATAAATTTTACTGATCTGACTAAAAAGAATGAACTAGATTAATTAAAAAAAGTATGGATTTATTATGTAGTACTGTAGCGTACCGAAATACGTTAGCGAAGGGGTAAGGAAAAATAAAAAACAGCACGAATTGATAAGACACTAAACAGATTTAATTACACCAGGATGTGCGTCTGAGGTTCACTTACAATTGAATTTACGATGGGCTTTCGTAGCCCTTTCGGTCCGACAAGAAGAACAGAACGGAGCGATTTAGCATGAATTGCCCGACGCGACAATTTGGAATCATTGAGATCTAACATAAATTGCCCGACGCGACAATTAAAATTCGTTTTTGTTAACACGATATTCGGAATATTCTTACATGAAGGCTGGTAGTTGATACCCACTGAATGTCTCTCTCTTGGTACGCAATTGTCCTCTTTACACGTGGTTCCTGCTTCTTTATTCTTCCTTCGCACTCTCACGAGATTCCTCCTCACCAACAGGACACGAACCCAGGAGAACGAAAAAGTCCTTCAATGCACTTGGTCCTTCCCTTTTATATCCCGCGCCATGTCTTGACAAAGGAACATATGTCATAGCAAGGGGATCCAATCACGGGCTCGCACTACCACACCTCAAGAGGTGATACAACCTTTACGGAATAATTTATAATTGCTAATGTGCGACAATACGGAATATAGATAATTATATATATATAACAATGACACTACAACACTTAGTGAGAAAACACTACAATTATTTAATGCATGCAATTTTGATTATCTATTTTTCTTATACAAACAATAATATGTAACAAATGAATATGTGTACATTTTTTATTTGCTATATATTTGTCGCATGTAAAAAAAACCATCTCTCTTATTTGTAAATTAGGAATTTCAGATGTAGTTTTTGTATCTATTATTCTGAAATGACAGAAAATGACACATGTTAAGTTTACTTTTATGAAAATTATTATTGACATTATTTTCTTTATATGTATAAGTATAATAATTAACCTTAACATTTCATTACATTATTTTAAATATAAGCTATGCTAAAAATCAGTAATACTGGATTACTGCGAAGTTTTGATTAATTTGGAATCATTAATTTTATACATTCAGTATGTAGAAGTTGTGAATCAAATTCTTTCAGTCTGTTCTTTTCTAGATTTCTAAATAATTTATTAATAATTATAGATTTATTTAAGTTCTAAACTGATTTAAGAAATGGCCATGAATCTGAAATAGCAAATTATAAAATTAAATTAAGGAAGTTGTTAATGCAAAGCAAATTCAAAAATATTTTGATTGAATAATTTTAATACATTGCATTGTTTATATTTGGTATTATTTTATATAAATGATAACTTATATAAAATATATAAAATTAGTGTTAGATTAGTCACAAATTATACAATATTACTGCAATATTGAAGTTTGTTAAATAGCAGAGAACATATATTTGGTTTTATTTGTTTTAGTAATCAATTTTTTATTTAACATGTTTTCATAACATAAAATTTATAAATTTAAATAGTATCTTATTTTGAGATTTGTGTTTTAATTTAGTTTATTCAGTTTAATTAAACAAGTTTATATTTTTGACACTGTTGTATTTTTGACCTACAAAATTACTCAAAATTCTGTATACTATAATACTAATCTTTTATTCAGTTTTGAATATTGAAATAGTTACTAAATACTTATAGTATATAATATTTCATTACATTATTTATTATTAATCTAAATAATTATTTTTAAATAGTTAATAAACTTTTACATTGTATTAGATATAATTTTTTGATTTAATATTTGAACAATTTTTGTAGTCCTCCTGAACTTCAGTGTTTCAGTAGTTTAGCATCTATAGGAGTACAAATACCAGCATCAATTATGCTGGTTAATTTTCCTAAGGTTTGGGCAGGCCTAAACCATGAAATGATATTAATATTAGTACTCGGAGGAGTTTCATTCCATTGTCAGAGTTTAATGGAATATATGTTGTTGGGATATATATCACCTGTTACGCACAGGTAAAATTTGATTTTTTTTTTTTAAATAAACATTTACTTTTATGTTTATTTTAAATAATTTAAAAGTCTAATTTGTTATAAAATTTTATTTCAGTGTTGCAAATACGACTAAACGAGCATTACTTATTTGGTTATCGGTATTAACATTTGGCAATAAAGTGACGTTTTTGAGTGGCTTGGGAACAATGATTGTAATTTTTGGTGTTGTATTTTATAATAAAGCACAAGAATTAACAATGAGAACACCAACTCCAATAGTTCCACCTTTTTCTGCTGGTGCCAAAGGAGGAGTACATGCAATTTGATATTTATTTATGCTAATGGGATGTAAATTTTATTACATATGTTTTAAAAATAAAACATTAAATTAAATATTTTGTTAATTTTTAATTATTTTTTTCTATGTCTTGGAGTTACTTATATTTTAATATTAAATTCTAAGTACTTGGTAGAATAATAGCTAAAGAAATAATATAACAACTTAAATAAATTTTTTCTGATAGTCATTCTATAATGAATATGAATTACATCTTACCCAGTTATAGAATGAATTAAATGGGATTTAAATCTTATAATAATTATAGTTGCTTGAAATGGAGTTAATAAAATTATCTTCTTAATAAAATGATAAGAAATGTTCCATTTTTAGATATAAAAAGAATTACAAATAATCAATTTAAGAATGTAGCAATGTTTAGAAAAAAAATGTCTTCAAATTTTTAATGAATACAGTGTTGAAAGAATTTAAAGATGTAAAAAAATTAAACATTTGTTTTATCTAAACTATTACATTATATATCAATATAATCATGTTTTCAGTTCAAAAGATTAAAGAATTTATTTATTCTAATTGAAGTTATGGAAATTAATATTGATCATTTATATTTATAACTGAAGCCTGAATGAATTTAAGCATTGATTCCATCTGTCATATTGTTAAGGATTTATAATTTGATGTGTTTAAAAATAATTTATTTAAATTTTGAATGCTAAATGAATGAAATGTTAACTTTTATTGCAATCAGAATAAACTGTGTCAGCCATTACAAAATGTGAAATTTGAAATTTCAGTTCTACAAAAAAAAAAGGAAGAAAATAAACAATTTGATATGTTTAACTTAAATTAGTTTTCCAAAAAATAATAGCAAAGCTATTGTTTTGAATAGTTTTTAATTTATTTTTTCTAGTTATCAATAGTTTATTTACATTTATAATTTTGGTTATTTATATTTTGATGATTTTATTTAATGATGACGAAAGTATTACTGTAATTTGAGTGAAGAACAGTAACAAAACTTCAAGAAAATTTTCAGACAAATTAACTGACAAATCAGAAATTTTTCAATGCTATTTCTTTGGAAATTATTCTTCAAAATACAAGCATTATTTTGTTTGAGTAAAACTAGTAAGACTCTATGTGAGGCTGGCAACACTGTTCTAGATACCAGTCTCGTACAAATTATAGTGACAACCCACAGAATAAAGCCTTGTCATACGACAGAAATGCTGTGTCAACATTAGTACTTATTCTTTCCGCTAGAAGGAGGAGTGTTCGGACTATATGTCAAGTTTTTATCTTTGTTTTTATTATTTTATACTGATGATATCTAGTCTACCCATTGCAGTGAATACCTAACAAATTATTGTTAATTTTCCGAAATAAAAGTAATAATTTTAATTTATAATGAAAATACATTTCGTGTTTAAAGCTTCTTGTTCTATTCAATTGTTGTACTTAAGTCCTACATTTGTCGAGTTGAGAGATTTATCATACAGAATATGTATTTAAAAGCATGGCAAAATTAATCAATTTGAATTGTTTTAGTATACATTTCGGGTCTAAATCACTCTTCAGTTGTTGACAATTATTATTAAACTGGTCCCGAGTAAAGTCACATGAGAAAAATATACTTTTAGTTTAATATTAATTAACGCATAAAAGACAGTACTCGGCATATGATGTATATGATATGAAATAACCAAAACGAATTTACATGAGATAGAGACTACTGCAGAGAGAAAAGTATATACTTTTTAAAATTGGTTTTTTGTTCCAAACCATTGCTAAGGTAATACATTTAGTTAGTTAGTTAGTTTTGTTTACTTATGGCAACGCAACATTTGGGCGATGCCTTCCGGGAGGTCTTTTTAAGGGAAACTGGCCCCTATTTAGGCGTTAGAGACATGGAGAAAACCCGGAAAACTCCACGTGGCCGAGCGGTCAAGGTGGCAACCTACAGCTCTGGGGGACCCGTTTCGAATCCGAACGGGTCGAAAAATCCCCAGGAATTTTTCGGGGGGGTAGTCCGTTCGGATATGTCGGGCCCCGTCCCTCACCACCCGGCAGCCCCACTGTGGGCCTGGCCGAATCCATAATGGGCTTGCAAAAAAGAGGCCCTTAGTGCCCACAGGCCGGAAAGAGTTAAAAAAAACAGACCTGCATATGGCCAACCCGTCCGAGCGAGGCGCGAACCCACGACCGAACTCCCAGTGTTGAGAGTACGAAGACCGCTTGGCCACTGGTATGCCGGTAATACACTTAGAATAAAACGTTTTATCGGTAAAATGCAATATTGCAAAACCACTTTTATAATATGCTAGACTGACTAATTTTCCCTATTTTTCTATAGCTTATAAATCTTAATCTGTAAACTACGACGACGGCGCTTATTTTTCTGCTGTAACTGCTGGACTTGAGACTTTTGAGCTTCTGATTGTTTATTTAACGTCATGACAGCAACATTTTGGGATTGTACGTCTGCCTTTAACTGTTTAACCTCAACATTTTTGGCTTTTAACTGATTATCAACATCTTAGATTGTTTAATTGATTTTGTAATTATATTTTTTTCATTTTCAACTTCTAATTTTTGTTTTTCCTTGTTTATGTATCCAATTGAGCTTGTAATACTTTTTTTGCCTACCACAAGTGCTGAACTTCAGTGCCTTTAACTTACTGAACAATTTTGCAGGACCCAACCTTTTTTCGAAAGTTTGTATGACATGGATCTTTTTCATGCCAAAGCAAGGAAATCGTATAATAACCTTTCATTAAAAAAATGACATGTCTCAGAACTTATAACCAAGGCCGGCCAGAGAGTGGTGTGAATGGTGCGACTGCGCAAGACCCCTCGAACTTGCATGATCCAAATCTTGCGAACTCTTAGCGAATGATGAAATTATCAATTTTTAATCTATTTAACGGATGGTATGTTTATTATTAAAATATTATTTTGTTGTTCGAAACTGTTTTGTTCTTATTATTAATAATAAAAGGCTCCGCACAACAACTTTGCACTAAGTCCCAGTTTTTTTTGGGCCGGCCCAGCTTATAACCACAAAAACTTCCAAACGACCTGAACAGTGTCTCAGAATTCTGTTTCGAACACTACCTATTTATACACGTCCACACAAAACAAAACAAAAATAAATAAATAATAATAATATTAAATTAAGTCTTTCTCTTCCTTGAACTATGCTAACAAAAAAAATAAGTTTTTACTAAATTTAAAATTATGTTTACATTTTTAAAGGTTTGCTTTGATAATTTTTCTGGGCAGGAGTTTTTCTGAAGTTTTGCTTTAGGCTCTATGATTCTCCCTTGTGTATGCATCATTTACACTTTGTGTGTACTTTGAAATGTAAGGTCTAATAAATTTAAAATTCAATTATATAAACTACTTTTGTGTATCCATCTTTGCTGCATAAAAATATTTGAATTTTTCCGTCCATAGCTGAATTATCTTGCACAGACGAAACATTATAGCTGGCTTTGGATATAAAGTCCTTGACGATGATTTAAATTTATTAGACTCATAGAAAGGGCAGGAATTTTCATTAATTCAATCATGTCCAAACAGCCAAAACAACAATCAATATTCTCTTCTACAGCCCTTAGTATTCCACCAATGTAGGCCATTGTTACAGAACAAATATTGGTTTGTATAATGTTACAAGGTTTGGTCGCAAACAGTTTCATTTCTGTTTCAGTTGCCTTCAGTACCTCTTTCACACGTCTAACTTCATCAATTGACACATTTTTTATTTATTCGAAGAATAAAATGGCACGGAAAAACGCGTTAATGTAAATTAATCTTACAAACACAGCAAAAATCATTGAGAAAAATAAATAACGTTGAATAATTATTCGAATAATACTGAAAAAATAATTTTCAGTCGTATCTCATTCCTCGTTCTCATCTCGATAGAGGAGTGCTGCAGCCTTCGCTTTTCATTCCGGAAGAACAGAGGGGAAGATTGCTCAGCGACCGAAGAGGCGGCCTTATCGAAGACTACCAATCCGAGGAAGACAGAAGAGAGGTCACGAGGCGACCAAAGCTGGCCTTATAGGAGACGACCAACGCGAGAAAGGGGGAAAGAGTGTCTTCTGGGAGGACTTGGAGGGGAAGCTGGCCCCTATTCAGGCGTCATCAGCAAGGAGGAAAACCCGGAAAAACTCCCGCTGCCAGCTCGTCCGAATCCCAGATCGAACTCCGGTGTTTAGCGTCTGGTCACCGCCATTAAGAGCGGAGACGGAGTCCACAGTCTTATCTCGCTTGTCTCAGTGTAGGCAATAGGCAGTACAGCAGTGACGCTCTATGAGAAAAATTACAAATTGCCTTCAGCCACGACACACCAGTCAAGAGCAAATGGCGAGGCTGTTTCATTATATGGGCTGTGGTATACATAACAGCCAGGAAAGTAAAAAGGGAGCGCAGAATGTTTTTCGACCAATATAAATCAGTTCAGCTAATGTGCATTTCAATAGACAACTAAGATTCTTGACTGTGGTCTAGATCTGAAGCGTTAAAGAGAGTAAGCCATTGGGCTCTTTCTCGAAAATTTCTAGACCATATTTAACTTTCCTGGCTGTTATGTATGTATATGTCGCAGTCAGATTGTTAATTTAGCCGCTTTACAAAGAGTCTATCTGTTTGATTAAACGGCGCTGTTTTATAACAAAGCTAACTAACGTTCAGCCACTTTACAAAATGACTAAACCAAATCCCGCCAGATTGAATGACAAGTTACGTTCTACAATACGACTGGCGAAATAATTAGCCGCTTTACAATGTGGCGTTAGATAAATCATATTTACTTTTGGAGGAGCAAAGGCATTCACCAATATGGCGTAGTCTAGCGGTAATATTGGATATTACCAACAAATAATGAAAGACTGCAAAATGTGTCTGAATATAGCGGGTTTAAAGATAATTTCGACAAACATCTAATGGAAATTTACGCAAAACAGCATGGAAATTTGAAGAAACCATGGGTTAGAGAAAGAATTTTTGAAGTTATTAAACATAAGAATAATGGTAAGATGGCCATAGATTCCGGTGCACAGC